GCCCAACTAATGTCTGTGCTACCACATAGATCCTGTAGCTGGCTAGCTGCACTGGCCTACATAGAACATAGAGTAACTTCCAGGATTTGTTCACACTGATTTACATTTTGCTCCCTTGATCGACTGCCTACTCTACTTTTGTACAGGATCACAACATCATAATTCTAGTCAGATATGATCCTTTGCCAGATTAAGTAGACGTGAATGAGATATCCAACTTTTGTCAAATTAATTTATGCAACCTTTTGATCTTTTAGCAATTTGATCCATCCAATAAAAATTCAAGTTTGGCCCCATAAATCTTTTTTGCCCTTTTTGTTGCTTTGCAGGTGTATTTACCTGAGGATAACTGCCTTTAAGAACAAAATCTCTAATCTCTTTTCTGGTTAATTTTTTCTCTAGGCTTTAAGAGATTAAGAAATTAAAAGTTTTGTTTAACTGGAGTTATGGAAATGATGAGAAGCATTTTCCCCAGTATATCTCAGCTACTATGTACTGAATTGATTACCATTCATTTCTTCTAACTATTTGATCAACAACTTTTTTAGGTACAATGGAACAGAGGGAACACACATAAAAGTAACCGATTTTGTCAGAGACACAGATTGTCTAGTGTGTGGGCCTGGAACACTTGTTGAGCTGGACACTTCCACTACGCTTTTGCAGGTAACTTAACCTTTTGATAACCTTCTTCTCTTAAGAGTTGCACTATAATTTTTCTTAAAAAATTTGGTCTTTTGCAAGGTCAGATTCGTTAGTATTGCCTGTGGTTTGAGGAAGAGAAAAAGCCTCCTAAGTAAACAGTCAAGGAAAACTTTATTTGATTAATGAGAAATAATGACATAATACTGAAAATAGAAAAAAAGACTTTTGAAGTTTGAAATCCTACTTAAACATTAATGACGATACTATTCTATCCCTAAATGTAGCCGTCCATCAATTTTTGATAATATTGGATGATCTTGTTTTTCCTTGCTGTCAAGGAACCCTTTAGGAGTTTGTGTGATTCCTGATCTTCAGGAATCGAACAAATGCTGTCCCCTGCTGAAGTCAACTTGTTGGGAATCTTGTTTGGACAGGGCTGTTTGAGTCCTAGTCTTCTTTGAAACAACCCAATTGGGTGGTCATGGGATTGTTAGGGATATCAGAAAAACTAGACATTCTTGTCAGTTTGCATCACTAGTATGATGTTAGATACTTTTACTCCTAGACAAGAAATTTGCATTGTGCTACAATTGATGCTCATTAGAGACTGGCGAAAGCATGATCGTTTTCTAATTTGTCCATGTAAGTCCTCTCTTTACAAGAAAAGTCTGATTTACTCTCATGTTTGACCTAAACTTGACTGTAGCATTTGCTCTCTCTTGGAGTGTATTTGTGAATATCAGGTCTATCTATCTTGACTACCCTATTGGTCAACGATAAAGAATCTTGAAGGATATGCATGCTAATTTGTCCAGCATATGGAAACTCTGATTTGAGGTTCACGTACCTTATGGTTAATGAAAGAAATATTGGATACTGGCATATAACAATCAAACAAAGTAATGCATATGAAAATTTCTATTCACTAATTTACTTAAAATTTTTGTGAGACTATTTTACTGAGATTCAAAATGGATGATGCTTGTGTCTCTGAGTCTCATTTGTCACATAATATATCATCTCTGCTTAATCAAAGACATTGAAGAGGGCCCGTGAAACTGTCATTAATCATCAACTTCTGCATTTCACACTGAGTAATCCTTTATGCATTGTTACATAAAATTGTGGATAATACTTTTCTAGTACATCAACTTTAGACTGGTAGATGATAAAAGGAAACGTCTGAGTTGATGTTTTCCAAGAATGTGCCAAACAGATCTTGAGATTTCTTGATTATACTGCATAGTTTCTTCAGCAGCACCAACTAAATGACTTGTCCTATGATAAGTAACCTTACTTTTTGTGAAGTCTTTTTTCTTGTCTGCATTATGCTGATCGTCTGTTGCTTATTTTTTTAATGTCACAGTTCATCATATTACTTGGCGAACATCCTAACATTCATCTGTCAAAAGCTAGTGTCACATGTCGAGGAAAAAATCTTTACATGCAGTCTCCCCCGGTACTAGAAGAAATGACACGATCAAATCTCCAGCTTCCCCTGTTTGACCTCATGGGTAAAGTTGCAAAGGATGTCATTCATGCCAGTGGTACATCCGAGAAAAATGACAAGAAAACATCGTGCCTGAGGAAACTGCGAGTTGTCTTTAAAGGGGTTGCAGATGGGATCACGAGTATGGATACAACCGATGGCTCGTGAAGCTTCTCAACTGTGGTGCCTACCGTGGTAATCCATTTGGGAACTATATAGAAGTGTTTTTAGCTTTCCGAGCATCAGGAAGCTGTGACATTTTCTTCGATGTTATGTGGGACAATTTTCTCTAATTTTTTTTCTGAGTCATTACTGCAGCATGGCAAGAAAGAGAGTTGGAGTCTGAAGGTTTTCAATGGAAGAGTTAAAAGAGCTGATCAGGTATGGAACTTTCTATGTAGATTGTCTGCTCATGACTTTTAAATGGAACTTTGCCATTGCCTCCAACCTCTCATGATGTCAATCTGATTCTTGTTGTATCTAAGCACAATTCCTTTTTTATTTTTTTCACTTCAGATTAATTTTGTGTGGATGTGAGGTAGGTAATATATGATAATAAATTGTAGCATACAAGTCAATTATTAGGGAGAAAGGATCTGACTTGAGGTGTTCTGATATTGCTAAACTTAATTTTGTTCAGGAAAACTTACAAAACAAGATGATCAACTTTGCCCCCCCCCCAACTCTCAAGATGATCAACTATAGGAGCAACCGGTAGCATATCCAGACACCCAAAAACACCATATGAAGGCTTAGTACTTGAATTTGTGTTAGTAGTATGTGCAATGCAAGTGATCTATTTTCTAATTCTAATCAAACAAAGAGAAGCGTGCAAAATGTTTTCAGAAAGCAAAAAAAAAAAGAAAAAAGGAAGGTTAATTCTTCTTTCCCCTTATGAAATGAAATCCCAGTGAAATAGGAAGAGTTCGCGAAGATATGAGTTGATCACCAAATCTTACTATCAGTCATCAAAACTCGTATTAGCAAAGATAATTATCATCTTCAAAAGTTTGCTTCGAATCATCAATAATGACTTTTCATCCCTCGACGTTGATCGATTCAAATATGTACACAGTGACTGACTCTCCATATATCTCAGGAGCCTACGCAAGGGATACGCCATTCTTTTATTATTAGATACTTCATATGATGTGATCATACAAAAATTAATCGGTATCATATATATATATATATATATATATATATATATATATATATATATATATATATATATATATATATATATA